GGTGCAACGTGTGGGCATAGTTCTTTGCCGTTCTAGCTATTTTTTTGACCTAAAAAATCGAAGTTCATCAAATAACAAACACTGTAACTACATAAGTTTCTTCAGATGCCGTCCTCTTTCTCCTGTATTGGAATAATTTATATTGTCAGAGTTGAATTTTTTAGAACTTCTCACTTCACTTTCCTCTCTTAACATTTCTTAATACCTCCCCTGACAAAAAAACAACCAACCAACCAATAAAAACAAAACAAAAACAAAAACAAAACAGAAAACCAACCCTCCTCTCTCAGCATCCTATATCAGTAAAACGGTACAACCACTCACTCAATTACTCAAACTAAAATTCTTGGAGACATTGTTGCTCCTCTCCTTCACTTATACCCTATATCCAATTCATTCGCAAATCCTATCAATTTTACTTTAAAAATTTATCTTGAAGCTGTTTCTTTTCACACGCATTATGACCACCTTGGTCTAAGCCGCCATCACTCTGGCCACCACTGTGGCCTCCTAACTGACCTCTCAGTCCCACGCTTGCCACCCTAGAGTCTATTCTCCACAGAAAACACAGAGAGATCCCTTAAAGAACTAAACTGAGCCATTAACACTACTCTGCTCAACACCTCCAGTGGCTAAATACTTATTTACATATACAGCACTTATTGTATGCCAAGAATGTTAGTGCTTTTTTTTTTTTTTTTTTTTTTTTTGGACGCGGGCCCGTCCCTCCCTTGTCTTGCCCCTTTCCGGGGCGCGGGCCCGGGGTGGGCGGGCTCGGCGGCCATGGCTCACGGGCCCAGCCACTCCACGGCATGTGGGATCTTCCCGGACCAGGGCACGAACCCGTGTCCCCTGCATCGGCAGGTGGACTCTCAACAACTGCACCACCAGGGAAGCCCTGTTAGTGCTTTAAATGTACTAACTCATTTAATCCTCACAACAACCCTCTGAGGCAGGTTCTAGTATGATCTACATCGTATAGATGAGGAATTTCTGACACAGAGAGGTTAAGTGACTTCCCCAAGGGCACACAGCTATTATGTGGAAGAGCCAGGATGAGACATGGGCAGGCCGGCTGGAGAGGGCACACTCTGCTATTCTGCCTTGTGCCTTTGGAGGAAGACACGATGTGGAGCCCACACTTATGGGGTGGGAGTTATGGTCCACCTCCTTGAGGAAGGATTATTTACATAAATTATTTGGAATTCTTCTTCATGGAAGAGTCACCTCTTCTCCATTTATTTGTTTGTTGAATCATTTATTTATATCAGTGTGAACTCAGAGATATTCATTTTACACCTTGGGTTATAATTCAGTACTGCTTTGTTTTGTTGCTTAATTTATTCCAGTTCTGGTCATTGGGAATGCTTTCAGTTTGCTTCTGTGTCCCTTTGACACACCCCCATTAGTGTGGGTTTTTTTGTTTTTGAGCACTTCCTTACTTCCTGACACTATAAGATGTTTCAAGCTTATTTTGTATATTTCTTGCCCTAGTTCTAGAATCAGCCATTTCTCCAAAGAGCTTGCTCAAACTACTTTTAAATTATATACTTATTTATATATTTGGATTTTATTCCTCTCTCCCCTGACTATACCGCAAGTTCCATGAGGACAGGAACTTTGCTTTATCCAATGCTGTATTCTAGCTATAGAGTGCCTAGTAATTATCAGTCAATTTTGTATGTGTTCAGTCCATTTTGTTAAATCAATTTCTGACATGGGACCAGTGTTCTTTTTTCTCTGAACTTTAATTTGCTCTCCAGAAGTTGGGAATATGCAACTCACCATTTACTTGTTTGCCTCTTCATGGTTATTTTCCCCTAAATTTTCCCTCATCTCTGCAATCCTGATGACTTTTTACTTGTTGATCAAAATTAAGTCTAGAATAGCAGTTCCTTTATTGCTTCCTCATGTGCAAGAGTTCAGAGGAGTTCTGTTTTAAGAAAAAGAATGAGGCTTACAGTAGATTTCCGGATAACTGAAAATAATTCCTCATCACATCTATATTTTCTATCCTGTGTTAGAATAGCATCATTCTCAGTCCAGCCATGTTGCTACTACTGGTTATCCTTGTCTTTAGACTTCCCCAGATGGTCCCCTTTGGGCTTTCATCTTTGACTTCATGGATACTCGAGACTTGCTGTATCTGCTAGGTACAGGAAATCTACAAAAGCATACCCTTCCATGGCCATGTTGCAGTTACCAGACACTGTCCACTAAGTCTCTAGAAAATCCTTAAGACTGCATTACATTCTTTTAATTAATTAATTAATTTATTTATTTTTGGCTGCATTGGGTCTTTGTTGTTGTGCACGGGTTTTCTCTAGTTGCGGCGAGCGGGGGCTACTCTTCGTTGAGGTGCGCGGGCTTCTCATTGCAGTGGCTTCTCTTGTTGCAGAGCACGGGCTCTAGGCGTGCACGAGCTTCAGTAGTTGTGGCACGCAGGCTCAGTAGTTGTGACTCATGGGCTCTAGAGTGCAGGCTCAGTGGTTGTGGTACACAGGCTTAGTTGCTCTGTGGCATGTGGGATCTTCCCGGACCAGGGCTCAAACCCGTGTCCCCTGCACTGGCAGGCAGGTTCTTAACCACTGCGTCACCAGGGAAGTCCAAGATTGCGTTACATTCTTATATGAAAATTTCCAGTTTATTTTGTTATTTAAACTCTGGTATTATTACTGAACTCTATTACAGTCACCCCTCATTATCCGCAGAGGATTGGTTCCAGGACCCCCACTCATAGCAATATCCAAGGATGCTCAAGTCCCTTACATAACATGGGGTACTATTTGCATATAGTCTATGCACGTCCTCCTGTATACTTTAAATCATCACCACAGTATTTATGATACCTAGTACAACGTAAATTCTGTGTAAATAGTTGCCAGCTCGTGGCAAAGTCGAGCTTTGCTTTTTATAACTTTCTGTAAAATGGAGCTCGTAAAGGTGTCTAGCCCTTTGTATTAGCAACTGTGCCAATGTGTCTATTCAATCATAATAAATAATTTATTTCAAATATATTCCAGGGACTTCCCTGGCGGTCCAGTGGTTAAGACTCCGTGCTTCCACTGCAGGGGGCATGGGTTCGATCATGGTTGGGGAACTAAGATCCTGCATGCCATGGTGTGGCCAAGAAAAAAAACCAAAACAGCAGCAACAAAACCAAATATATTCCAAAATACCACCTTTTTATTAATCCACAGAGTTTCCTTCCAAATAATGCAAATTGGTGGAATTTTTTTTTTTTCTTTGCGGTACGCGGGCCTCTCACTGTTGCAGCCTCTCCCGTTGCAGAGCACAGGCTCCGGATGCGCAGGCTCAGCGGCCATGGCTCACGGGCCCAGCCGCTCTGCGGCATGTGGGATCCTCCCGGACCGGGGCATGAACCCGTGTCCCCTGCATCGGCAGGCAGACTCTCAACCACTGCGCCACCAGGGAAGCCCAGTGGAATTTTTCACATCTATAAAAATGATTTTCTTTTTTTTTGAGGCAGACAATGGTGGCAAATTTCTATCTGAATCTATTGAGGATGGCATAATGGCCTTTGGTTGCAGCAAGCAAGAATGCTGTCGGACAGAAAGGGGAACTGGACGCAAGTGCAGATAAAACTATTCATGGTAAGTTCCCCTTGTCCCCTGCCCGAGCTGACCTGACACTAAATAAGAGTCTGTGGAGACTCCTTGCAGTGACTGCTGTAAGGATGCTGCTAAGGATATGCCCATCATATTGCTCAGTGTCCCTTTTATGAGGACCCTTCAGAAAAAGCTTTTCTTAGTTTTAGTATAAGCTCAATTATTCAACCAATATTCACTGAGGCTCCTCCTAAGTGCCAGACTCTGTCCTAAGAGGTGCAGGCCAGGTCTTGTGCTCATGATTTTCTGTAATGGGAGAGACACACAGTAAACATATCAAATAAGTGAGTTAAAATTTTTCATGTAGTGATTAGGGGCTATGAGAAAAAAACAAGCAGGGTGAAGCAATCTCACATTGGGCTTAGGGGAAGAGGAGCCGCTTTCAAGTGGGCAGTTAGAAATCACTTCTCCGAGGATGGGACTTTAGGCTGAGGCCTGAATGACGAGAACAAGGCAGATGTGTGAAGATCTGAGGAAAGAGGAAAAACAGGTGCAAAGTTCTCGAGTCAGGAATGACCTTGGTGTGTTCAAGGAACAAAAAGGAGACCAGGGTGGCTGACGTGTGGTGAGGAAGCAGGGGGTTGGGAGCTGCTGAGATTGAAGGCCCAGAAGGACCTGGGCATTGGGCTTCCTAGGTGAAGAGGAAGTTGCCGGAGCTGAGAAACACACCTGGACTGCTCTGCCGTGTGTATCTCTGGGTCCCATGAACGGATATCTTAACCCACTTCCTGTTCTCATCTCTGTTCAACAGCTTTGGGCCAGATTTGTGACCTTTGGTGAGTGCCTCGGAGCCTGAGTTGCGTATTAACTTCATTCACGGCACCATCTCGTGCCCAACTCTTGTGTGTCCTTTTTCTTTCTAATACTTCTTATTGTAGCTAGTTCTGGTTTATGTTACGTTTTGGGTGAGTCACTTCCTGTCTTGTTTTGGATGAAGATGGGCGGACAGTGCATACACACAAAAACAATGGTGGAGGGAGGAGGTAGCAACATCTCCTTCACGGAATCTTCAGAATGGGATGGATTTTTATCTATCCAGCTGAACTTAGAGGCTGTCGCCCCTGTCTTTGACTTTCTGCTCCTTGGATTTTAGCGTGAGGCTATGGGTTTGGAAGGGACTACTATTCGTTAGCCACCTCTCTAAGAAGGAAAGAAGAAAGAGAGGGAGGGATGCCACCAGGAATTTTTACCTGAGGCCACCTCAAGAGATATAAGATGGGTCCCGATGAAAACAGGAAATGTATTTCAGATCCCAGATACCTAAAAGGCCACAGCAGTCAGTTCCAAGAAAGTGTACATTAATTCCATAAACTCTGTGGAGTAAAGGGACAAAAAGAACTGGGAATGTCAGGAATTTCCCTCAAAAGTTACCTGGAATTGCTGTGGACTTCTCAGAGTGTTGTGGTCTCCACAGGCCCTTCACTCAGCGGTGATTCCAGGTGTGGCAGAGCCATCCCAGGCTGACCACTGTCCCCTGGTCATCTCTAGCTCTTGGCTAAACCAGACTTGAGGTTTTGAGAAGATACACAGGCCAGGGATCTCGTCACGTTGTGGTAGCATGTTCTTCCCTGTTAAACGGTCATCTAAAAAAAAAAAGGTAAGCACTCAGAGTGGGTGTATGATGGGGGGTGGGGCAGGGAAGAGTCACTTACAGGTTCTCTCCAGGATAGGGGACAAAGACAAAGGCCTGAGATCATTCTACAGGCAATAAAGTAGCATATCTGTTTTGCTTTAAAATAACTATCTTTCTCTAAAAGTAATGCTAACCTGAGTCAAATTTGCCTCCATTCACTTCCTCCATAAATATTTCCTGAGTGCTGATTAGGTGCCAGGCACTTTTCTGGGCGTGGGGATACACCACTGACATTGCAAGCATCTTCTCCCTCCAAGGTGATCGGGGCCTTCTGCCTGTGATGACCACAATCCTGTCAATGTTCCCTGTCGCCCTGAACTTGCTGATTCCCTCTTGAATAATTGTACTCAATGAGCTGTACAAGGAGCTCATGAAGGAGGAGCTGGGTGAAAGCAGGGAAAGAATTTGGGTATTAGTTCTTGCAATACTCTACCACGAAGATGTCTGATTGAGAGAGCTGCACGCCCATGTGGCTAATTCCACAGTGGCTTGGGCCTCTTCCAACCCACTCTACGCCTTCCTTGCAAACTTTACATGAGCTTACATGTAAATTTTTCAAGTCATCACCTCCTTCCCCTGTACCCTCCCCCTCCGAAAAAAGGTAGAGGGTACATTTCTTCCTCATTATTTTGCCTTTTCATGCCCCTCCTTACAACTGGCCTCTACCACAACTGGCAGCAGAAGCGCTGACCTATCATGAGAAAGACTTTCTGGGGGATGTGTGGCCTGGGCAGCAGCAGCAGGAAGTACAGGAAATCTCATGAGACAGTCTGTTCTTGAACACTTGCCCGTCTTCTTCTGCAGACTCATGAGGTAAAGAGAAGCATTCGAGTTACTGGGGAGGTAACTGAAATGGAGTCGCAGTTCTTAACTGTTTGAGGTTCACCCATAACTGGCAAAATAACCGCAGGGCACGACCGTTAGACTCCAGCCAAGCCTGCGGCCATGGTGCTGTATGTTGAGATACTTTTGATTCTAACGGTTCTAAGCACCCAGGGAGCCCAGCAGTTATAACTAGCAGTGAAAGTCATAAAGCAAGGCTTTGTCTGCAAGCACTATAATGTGCTGGCTCGTGGTAAGATGCTGCTATGGAGTCCTGGGGCGGTCACGTGAGAGGGGAGGCATAGTGGTCTGTTTTCTTGAGGAAAACGAGAGCTGCTTGCAAGAGGAAGGGCAAGCAGGCTGAGTCATAGATCAGAGCTGACTTCTGTGGAAGACTCAGCATGGGGCCCTGTGATGGCTCTTGTGCTTTTCTGGATGATTTAGCTAACTGATCACACACAAATGTGAGTTCTGGGATGAAGACACTGGCCCCAAGCCCCAGACTTCTAAAAGTTACATCACTTGTTATTAAGAAAAAGGGAGAAAGAGAGAGAGCGAGCGAGAACAAGACAGACAGAGAGAGAAAGAAAGAAAAGAAAGAAAGAAGCTTTCTCTGCCACATCTCTGGCAAGTGCTGTCTCCTGATACAGCAAGGTCCATTCTTAGAAATGGCCAGGCTTCACTGCCAGGGTTTGCTGAAAGCACTGTGTTAAAGCCAGCACAGAAAGACCGGCCCCAGGCTGAATGCTCTGACCCATCCAAATCCACCCAGGCACATGCCCAAATACCATACCCTATCTTTTGTTTTCGGTCACATCTGATCCTCTGGTGCACACCTTGGGACACTGGAAATTCTAGGATGGTTTGCCTCTGTCTTACATACACCAAAACCACCAGGCCAGGCACAGTGGCTTCCTTAGAGATAGCATCTAATGAACCCAGTGGATGACTTCTTCAAGCAAGTTGGCAGGTCAACCTAATTTGGAGGAAGAAAGAGAAGCAGGCCAAAATATGACCAGAGATCAGAGATGGGCCCTGGACCAACCATCACCAACCTAGGATTCTAAAACCCCCCTCTGCTACTTCTCTTGCCTGAAGGGGAACTCCTCCCTAGGCTGAAAACGTGAAGACCAGAGCTGGGTATTGTCAGAGGCTGGGTGGATTACAGCCTGGAACAGGGCCTGCCGGTCAGGAGACCAGGACTGGGGTCCCAGCATTATGATCAGGTGAAGATTATCATCTGACTCGCCCACTGGCCATGCGATAAGGCCCCCCAGCCTGGTTGTGGCCGGGGTGAGAGGGTTCCTACTCTGCTCCTAATTTGGATGGAAGGTATCACATAACTGATTTATAAAATGCAATTGATGCTATGTAAGCTCAAAACACTTAATATGTCTTTCTAAGCTCAGATATGGTTATTTCTAAATGGATGCTCTCCTCCCAGTTCCCCACTGCCCATAGCTGACTTGGTGATTGAGCCATTCTGACCACTCTTTTTAAATTTACAATCAAGTTCTAAAGGTGAGCATTTCTTTAATAGATGTATAACACAGTCAATAAAATTAAAGGTGTATTCAAAAGACCTTTTTCCAAAGCCTGGGAGTGACTCATTTATTTAAGATGAGAGGGGCTGCTCAACTTCAGCTGGGCAGGGGTGGGAATGCAGGGATTTTATCACTACCTCTCCTGGGGAAAATACTAAGTAGCAACTCTCCCTACCACCATCAACACCACCCAGAACATAAAAACACACAAGAAACTTTGGCCACGTAGATTTTTTTCCAGGCTGACCAGATATTTTCTTTTGTCTTTTTAAATTTTATTTATTTTTGTCTGTGTTAGGTCTTCACTGCTGCATGCGGGCTTTCTCCAGTTATGGCGAGCAGGGGCTACTCTTCATTGTGGTGTGCAGCCTTCTCCTTGCTGTGGCTTCTCTTGTTGCGGAGCACGGGCTCTAGGCGTGTGGGCTTCAGTAGTTGTGGCTCGCAGGCTCTAGAGCGCAGGCTCAGTAGTTGTGGCGCACGGGCTTAGTTGCTCCGCGGCATGTGGGATCTTCCCAGATCAGGGATAGAACACATATCTCCTGCACTGGCAGGTGGATTCTTGACTACTGCGTCACCAGGGAAGTCCCAGACCAGATATTTTCCAATGAGCATCTATTATCCCTAGGGTTATTATTTTTTTTTAATTGGAGTATAGTCGTTTTACAATGTTCTGTTAGTTTCTACTGTACAGCAAAGTGAAGGAGAGTTCCCTGTGCTATACAGCAGGTTCTTATTAGTTATATATTTTATACATATTAGTGTATATAAGTCAATCCCAACCTCCCAATTCATCTCGCCCCCCACCCCCCATATCCCTAGGATTATTATTAAAAGTTGCTTTTTTTGGTGTTTTAAGGTAAAATCTTCTTATAAGTAACACCATCATCATAAAAAGGTCAGAATAAGTGAGGGATGCATTGGGAGTTTGGGATTGACATGTACGCCCTGCTATGTTTAAAATACATAACCAACAAGGACCTACTGTATAGCACAGGGAAGCTGCTCGATACTCTGTAATAACCTAAATGGGAAAAAATTTTGAAAAAGAATAGATACATGTATATGTATAACTGAATCACTTTGCTGTACACCTGAAACTAACACAACATTGTTAATCGACTATACTCTAATATAAAATTTTTTTTAAAAAGGTCCGAATAAAATTTAAAATTTCAAGTCCCTACCTATGGCCAATATATTTCTAAGTAACATCCAAAGTAACAATATTCCCATAAAAATGCTGGCATTGTGTAATACTTTCACCTGCCTTATCTGGTCCTTATGATCACATGAGTAAATTGGCCCAACTCTACCATCCCCACTTTACAGTGTGGAGGAGCAGTGGATGTGGGAGCACATCTCTCCTGCCAAGGAAGGACCCAGCCGAAGGGCACGCGACTGACCAGCAGACAGCCTCTCACTGTCAGCTCCTTCAGAGTGGCCTCAGCGGACAAGATCCACCTCACCTGAGGCACACCCTTCTCAGGGGTGACTGAGTGAGGAGGGGTAGAAAAGCCCAGCACTTCAGCCCCCTGCACGATGACCACAGTGGGCAACGCTCACCCCAGATCTCCCTGCCCAGGTCAGCCCAGGTTCTGTCAGATCTACGCTGCAGGTTGACTGCTTCCTCCGCCCAGCTCTGCTTCTTCCTCCCATCCTCTCACAGGTGTTGAACCCCAAAAATATCTGCACCCTAAACTCCATCTTAACATTGTCCAAAGAACCCAACCTTCGAGTATGGATGCCAAAAAGGCAAGGGTGTGAAATGAGATTTCACTGGCTGGACCCCTCACTGCCTGGTTGGCAAACTTGTCACTGGTGGTGAGTGAAGCACAGACAGCCCCCCTGCATGAGGTGGTTATTCACTCGTTCAAACTTTAACTTCTGTGAATTGGGAAGGTGTACTGGTGGCAGGGGATGCACTAACCTGTGTAGATACTCCAGGTGTTTGCAGTGTGTGGAGGGAAGGATGATATTGTCGGATGGTTATTACTAAGCGCCACTGGTGCTCTGCATGAAGATGAAGATCAGATGAAGAGTCACAGGCAATTGAAAGCCAGGTGTGGAAGCCAGATGGCCTCTTTGGTTGCCCTGCAGAGGAAGAATGGAGAAAGACAAGGACCAAGCCCATGACTTAAGAGTGCCTGAACTTCAAAGATAGTTAAATGCCCAACCGAGGCAGATCTGCTATGCCAAGTTCAGGGCACTGGTTGGAAAAACCAGAGACCCTAGCACAGTGCATGTGGGGACATTTGGGTGGATCGTCCCTCCACAGGACCCATCCCTACCTCCCTCATGGCCTCTAGGTTTGAGCCACAGGATAGCACAGCTGGAAATGTACCAGGCCTGATGAGGAAGGAGAGAGCCTATGCCTCCAAGGAGTTGGAAAAACTGAACAGAAGATACTGGTAGAAGCCAAGGGACCATATGTGTAATTAAGTTCTGTGGGTGTTTGATCAAGGGAGCTGAAATATACAGATAGGGAAGGGTTTATAGGATTGAGGGAAGCCTCCTGAGATACAAGACTGAACACCCTGGCAAGGAACCCAGGAGATAGTGTGAACTTGCTACTCGGATGGCTCCTAGAAGCATAAAGAAAAAGTGATGGTACACATTGAGAGAAATTGAAATGCTAGAATTGTAGTGGCAGATAGTAGAGGAAGGGATCAAAACGCTATGGTGGGGGGGGGGGACTTCCCTGGTGGTCCAGTGGGTTTAGCTCCACGCTCTCAATGTAAGGGGCCCAGGTTCAATCCCTGGTAGGGAACTAGATCCCGCATGCATGCCGCAACTGAGAAGCCCACATGCTGCAACTAAAAAAAGATCCCGCATGCCTCAGTGAAGATCCCTCATGCCACAACTAAGACCTGGCACAGCCAAAATATATAAACAAATAAATAAATATTAAAAAAAAGGCTATGGGGCTGGTCATGTGACAGTGGGTATAGTAGGTATGGCTGGATGATCCACTGAATGCTTACGTTTCAGAGGAATGCCCAAAGGACACACCATTCCACAAGGCCATTGGGATGTGCTAGGGGAAAGTTAAACAGTGGACCTCCTCTGAAGGCCAGGGGCTGATGGTAGCAGAAACTGTTACAGACCTTGGCTTGCTCATAGCAGTAGGGATGATGGGACATTGAAATAATAAAGGTCAGGAGACAGCATTTAACTGCCAAAGTTAAAAGTTTGTAATTATTAAAAAGACTGATGAGGTCAGAGTGGCGGCCAAGGAGGCCTGATCCACAGAGAGCTATGGCAACAGTTAACAGAACATGGGGTCCTAGGAGAAAAGAGATGGAAAGTTGACAAGGATATTACTCAGACTGTATTGGCAGAAAAAATCTAGCATGGGTGATTGGCAGATTGTGTATGAGAGGAGGGTGGTCATCCCAATACTAAGTCTCCACTCCTTGCACAGCCCCTAGATAGGATCCAGTTTTCAGACCTGGAACACACTGTCTGACGAGGTGGCTGGGTCTCCAGGCAACAATCTGGAGGACGCTGCAACACCATGACAAGTGAACAGGGTATTTCTCTAGTCCTTTTCCAAAAGGATCTATAGCTATTTATTTGAGTAACTGTGTCCTGGGCACAGGGTCTGAATTGACATTGCTATGCAGAGACCTGCAGTGTAACTGTGGCCCTTCTGGAGGGCACCTGAGGTCAGATATTCAACACAGTCCTAGCCAAAGTTCTGCTTAGAGTAGGCCCACTGAGTGTGCAGACCCACCTGTTGTCACCTCCTTAACCCTTAAGTGTAAAATTAGGATTGACATACTTGGTCCAACTCCCACATTGGGTCCTTAGCTTATGGGGTAAGAGTTATTATAGTGGAGAAGGCCAAGTGGAAGTATATGAAACTGCCTCTTCCCGAGATAGTAAATAAAATTTTAAAAACCACTATTGCATCCCAGGGGGGATGGCAGAGATAAGTGTCATCCTTAAGTGTCCAAAGGATTCAGGAGCAGTGGTTCCTAGAATATCTCCATGTGAGTCACCAGTCTGGCCACCGCAAAAACTGGATGAATCCTGGAGGGTGACTGCAGATGATTACAAACTCAGATAAGGAGTAGCCTGATTACAGCACAGCTGCTGTTCCAGATTAGGTCTTTTTGCTAGAACAGGCTAATATACAGCCTCAGGTTCATGGTATATCGTCATTGATTTGGTAAATGCATTCTTTTTAATCCCATTTAAAAAAGAGGATCGGAAGCAGTTTCCATGTTGCTCCAGGGCTATGTTAACTCTCCTGACTTTTGTCCTAACAAAGTCCAAAGACAGCTCTACTGTCTGGACATTCTATAGTACTGATCCATTATATTGATGATATTATGGTAATCAGGCTGGATGAGCAACAGATGGCTAGCACACGTGCACTTTAGAGAGTAGAAAATAAACCCTATGTAGATTCAGGTTCCTGTCACTTCTGTACAATTTTTGGAGGTCTAGTAGTAAGGAGTGTGCTGGGAAATCCCTTTCAAAATAAAATATAAATTATTGCATCACATACCTCCTACTATAAAAAAGGAAGCACAACACCCAGGGGGCCTTTTGGGGTTCCAGAGGCAGCATATTCCACTCCTAGGAATGGAGGACATAAAGGATGCCAGATTTGAGTGAGGCTCAGAGCAGACAAAAGCCCAGTGGCAGGTCCAGGCAGCAATACAAGCATTTCTGCCACTTGAACCATATGATCCAGCAGACCCAGTGGTGTTAGAGGCATCCTTGGTAAGGAAAGGTGCCATTTGGAATGTGTGGAAAGCCCTAGAAGGAGAGTCACATGGATCAAGGCCATGCAATTTGCAGTAGATGATTATATGCCTTTTTAAAAAACAACTCCAGGTGTGGTACTGGGCCCTGGAAGAAATGCTTGACCATGTGAGACCAAGTGACCATGAGTCTAGGACTATTCATCTTGAGCTGAATCCTGTTATATCCATGAAGTCATAAGGCCAAGTGGGCCCCCGAATAATTCATCATAAAAGAGAAGTGGTTCATCTGGGATTGAGCACACGCAGGCTACATAACAGAGCTCCCCCGCACCGCACACCCATCACTGTTGCATCCACGCCTCTCCCTCAGCTCACATCCAGGGGTGTGAAGGGTGATTTTTTTTTTTTTTTGCGGTACGCGGGCCTCTCACTGTTGTGGCCTCTCCTGTTGTGGAGCACAGGCTCCGGACGCGCAGGCCCAGCGGCCATGGCTCACAGGCCCAGCTGCTCCGTGGCATGTGGGATCTTCCCGGACCCGGGGCACGAACCCGTGTCCCCTGCATTGGCAGGCGGACTCTCAGCCACTGCGCCACCAGGAAAGCCCCGGGGTGATTCTTAACAACTAACTGAAGGAGGATCAAAAAGCGCAAGCTTGCATATGAATGGATTGGCTGGGTATTTCTGTGAAAGTTGAATGTTGATGACAGCTGCAGGACAGTCTCACTCAGGCTTGGCCTTGAAAAAGGCAGGGGCAAGAGAAAGTCCTCCCAATGAACAGAGCTCTAAGCAGTGCCCATGGTCATTCACTTTGTGGCAAGAGAAGGGGTCTGAGGTTAGAATATACATGGACTAATGTACTGGAGTATAATTCTAGCAGGAATGATCCCCGATGTCTCACCCAGCCTCATAATTTGCATTTATAGCAGCCTGGTCAAGCTTTGGGCAGGGGAAGGAGGATTTTTTTTTTCAATTAGACACTTGATTGGTGATATAACTTAAATATTTCAGATTGCAATTCGTCCACAAGCAGATAGAGGAGAATGAAAAACTGGGCAGAGATTTTCCAAGAAACTTATTTAACCAACAATTGCCATTTTTTATCATGGAAAGAAAGACTGGCCTACAGAAGCCTTGCCCCTTGTCCACTTCTGGTTCTGTAGCTACCACAAAATACCCCCAAATCCAGGAAAACCTAGTCAAAAAGGACCGAGGGACCCGGAGGAGAAGGCCCTTGTTGCCATACATTCTTACAAAATTAAACTGGCTTGTCAACCTGCAAGAATAACGATGAGAACATAGTGATAACATTTAAAATAAAGTAAAACTGTTATCTTTAACCTTTACTTTAGATGAGAAATACTTGGTGGGGTGGTGCCTTTAAAAGACACGTGGGCTCTATTCCCCGAGGTTCAGAGATGCAATTGCTCTGAGGAGGGGGCAGCCTGGTGGGTAAACACCAAAGAAGACCTTGACCTAACCTAGCACCAGGTGATTTCTATCCCCACAGAAGAATATACATTTGGCAGGGGGTGGGGTGGAGAGAGGGAGGCCTAAAAGAACCATTGAAAAGAGATCTACAGAAACCAGTAAACCGAAGCCCATTTTAAAATGACAACTCATGAGCCTCTATATTCCACAAAGATCCTGTGAACCTTTTGAAACACACCATGATATTAAATCCACATTTCATGTATTAATACCAATTTGTTTGCTAATAATTAGACAATAAAAAGTAAGGTTATTGTTTTACAGTATCTTCGATTTGGGTTCTGTAAAGGGGCAAGCAAATTCCTACTGGATGTGCCAATCAGAAAAAGAAGTCTACTGTTCTGTTGGTTTATTCCCTCCCAGAGGGCTTCTGAGAAAGCCCGCCCCGTCAGTGCAGAACTACATGTCGGCAGAGAGATGAGCATTAGTCCAGGAGCTAGGTGACTTGGATCTTTGTCTGTTTTTGATACCGACTTAGCGAGCTATTTACCTGAGATCCTTTTTCATCCGTAAAATGGAGATAATAATGATTATTTTAATAACTTGAAAGGTAGTTGTTATTTTATTATTACATTATTATCATTCCACATGTAACTTGACCCAGTGGGTCTTATTCTTGTTTTACAAAAGGACAGTTTGGGAAATTACTCTTTTTATTATAATCTTCATGACCAATGTCCTTATTTTTATTTTGGTTGGCATCATTATTTCTGTAGCAAAAAACCAGAAGAAGTGCCAAATAGGTGACCCCAGCGAAATGGCCTCAACGATAGAGTTATCCTTCTCTCCCACGTTATACAACAGTACGTTTTATTACATTGTCTATACTCTTATACCATGGAAATACCTGCTTCAAGGCCTAAGGAAAAGCCAGTGACTTCAGTACTC